AAAAGTCTGACAAAACCATTCAAACCTGTAATTTATTCTTCATATTCAATAAGTGATAAATGATATTTTGCAAGTCTGACTCAAGGTTAGCATATGAAAAATGCATCTCAAATGTGTGACCAAAGAGAAAAGAAAAATCAATTTTTTGAAACACGATGTCAGTGGGATCGTAGGCAAGGTATAAAAATGGAAACGAAAGTGTCACAGTTACACGATGTCAAGTATTATATATGCAAGATTATGACAATTTTGAGAATTTGTCGTCACCATTTCTGCCAACGGAAAAGGACATCTGACGCAAAAAGCATTTCTTCATCTCCAAGAAGTTACAGAAGTTCAGTGCGTTATCAGCAATTGCTCCATTCCATAATCATAGATATAAAATCAAAAAAATACAAAAAAATCAAACAGGAACAATACAATGAACTCTCAGTGGTCAAGCAGATTCTTTTACCAAACCATCGTCATTTCATTTCTTTGTAAATCTCTTAACTTGCAGCTCGAGATGAGTCAAAGATAATGGCAATGGCTAACAAAACAAATTAGATACAAGACATAGTATAGCTACACAAAATTTGAAAGCCAAGCATTTATAATTAACTTTCTAGCCAGCTACGATAAACCATCTTACAACAACACCAATTAAGTATATCTTGCGCTCTTCTTTTTCGTCTTCAACGTTGATTAGGCATTTGCTATTACACTTCTTGCTTTGCTTGCACTGCTTCCAAGATAGGCGTTTCTCCAGTTTTTGATGCGGCTCCCTCGTTATTACCAGTTGCTCCTCCGTCCGCATCTTCTTTTACAACGGTTGTTACACCTTTTTCTAGCTCAGCATTGCCGTTAGCACTAGGTTTAGGTTTGTCAACAGGTTTTTTCGGAAGTAATCCATCAGTGAGCATTTTTTCCAGCTTTACTATGGGTATCTCGAAAAGACAACTCCAGAAGAAAGAAAACACGTAGGAGACAACAATTGTTGGAATGACCATGTATATATACTGCAATATTATGATTGAGAAGATAATTTCCAAACTGTCTTTTTGATTTTCGCAACGTACCATCTTCCAAAGAGTAGTGAAATGCGTGGGTCGATCATCTAGATTGTGAATATAACTAATAAGGAAAAAGTGCGTAATGTATCCTGTGTACGACAATCTTCCTAGCGGTTGCCATGCTGGATGATGCATAAACTTAGCAAT